TTGCGGAACGCTGAGGGGTGGGAGGTCCAATCTATCGGCTGTAGTGGGTACCAACGTGACGCGACCGCTCGCCCCTTTCCATTCGGGCTTTTCTTCTGGGATTGTGTTTCCCTTTAATTTTCGAACACGATCGCCGAACGAAATGTTCTTTGCTGGAGCCGCGCTGATCGTTGAGGAGTTACCCAATGCCTGACCTGTCAGACCATGAACAGAACGAAGTCCAGGTGGCGTAAATTCTCCTGGTTTCGTTGTTTGTTTCTTTCCACGCTCACTCGTAGTAGGTTCCCCAGAATACGGATCCCAACTTGGGTTCTTTGCGGGCCGTCCTTGTCCACCTCCAAGTTCCTTTCGAGTCACAAGATTCGCAGCGGCGGCAGCGACTTGGTTCCTCCGTTTTTCTCTTCGAAGAACAGGAATATTACTGGAACCTTGCTTTGAACTTGGTCTTGCACTTCCACTCACACCAAGATTCGATATGTCAGGCATCTCGTCTATAGGTGAGACCTCCTCGTCTTTGGGTTGGTTTTGGCTTCTATTCTCAATCAGTACATTTCACACAAAGTTTTAAGGTGCCAACATGAGGAGGTATAGGGGAAATGCTGGATGATTTTGACTTAGGACCCGAAGGTCTAGGTATTTGTTTGCTCGTGGACCGCCATAAGTGATAATAGGCTGTTCTTGAGGGGCGTAAAGCAGCTCAAGAGTATGCTCTCGGTATATCCTTAAAAGACTTGACATACCTCTGAATACCTCGAGTACCATCAAACTCGGGCGAACTTGGGGGAGACACCTCTTCTGTATATGTTGTAGACGGGGTTGCGTATGAGTTGCGCGGGAAGCGTGTAACAATAGGGTTAGGGGACGGCTGGGAATAAATCGACGAAGCAGGTCTGAATTTCGAATTACGGTACTCGGGAGGAGATGGAGGGGCAAGTTCACTTTGCTCTTGTTAGCTATGTTTCTTCTATATGACGGCAGATGAAGTATCCGTGGAAATTGGAGCACAGGCTGAAGCTGCCTGCTTCAGATATGTTTATCTCGCGCTGACATCTATTCACCGGTCCTGTCCAGCTGGTCCCCGAGAAAAATAAAGTACTCACAGTGGCAAACTTGGGAGAACCTTGGGTTCCATGTCATCTCGTGGTGGGCGTGGTGGAGCTTGACTCTGGTCTGTGGGGGAGGTCGGACTATGTATTTCTATGCCCAGTCCATGCGGTGTGTATCCTTTGGAGGAATATTTCGGTTCATCGTAAGCAGGCTGTCGTGCGCCCTTGTTGTTCAGCCTCTTCCACATTATGCAAGCTTATATTGTTACTCAAGCTCGGAGTGTATGATAGTCGCCGGGGTGCGACGGAGAGATGGAGTTTCCAATGCTTGACTCGAGACTTATGCGACTCTGGCTATTTTGCGTCGAGGCGATCTGCATACGGGGGTGAATAATAAAAGTCAAAGGAATGATTTTTATTTTATTGTTGCGTTCGTAAATCGTGAATCGTGTCCGAAGGAGTGTCGTGTGTTGAGGCTGTGCTGGAGGATTGTTATTGCGCATGCAAGGTCTATTAAATGAGGCCAACAACAGATTATTGTATTGCGGTTCGCAGAAATGGTAAATGAATGGCTGGACGCGCTGTCACAAGAGATGAAGAAAGGGAGAAGGTCGAGATACAGGCCGATCCAAAGCTCTGGTGTTGATGGCTGGTGCAACGGCGTCTTGGATGCAGGAGAGCCAATGAATGCGTGAAAGGCTGACAACACTGAAGTTCGTTCCTGTTTCTTCGTACACGCGTCGGAACCACAACAATAACACTTTTGAGAAATGAAAAATGAATTAAATGGAACCTACAATTGGGGGTCGGAATATTTTACTCTGATCACAGCTATCGGTGGCATTGATTGAAGGACAGCGTTTCGTTTCATCTTGAGCCCCCCAACCACGGCACGGATCATGGATGAGGGGCATATTAATAGTCGTCTAATTTATGATAAAGGTGCAGTTGCTCCACTATGTCCACGAGTACGAGCAATGGGAAAGCTGAGTGCATACAGGATCGAGGCACAAGGCACGAGACTAATCATTATAAGATCGCAAGAGAACTTGTGTAGTATTCCACAATCTCGGTGATAAGTGATCTTGGTGTTGCAGATAGTTGCTTGGACCCCACTAGAACGCCGTCTTTCAGGGGTAGCGAGCTACCGAGGTCCCAGTGATCTCCATAGATCTCGGTACTCGATCTTGAAGCCATCATGGACAACGAGAACTCAAACAACAAAGATAACGATGGATCCGAATCCCTTTCCTCTTGATGAACCTTCATCCAGTACAAGGGCTCATTTTGAATCAACTCCATGGTGTGCAAAGCTCTTCAATGATCCCACTCTTCAACCATTCAACAACAAGAATTTTGAGCCAACCGAAACCTTCAACTCTTTCATAGGAAAGACCCTGGCGACGAAAGATACGATAATTGCTTCACAAGCTTTTCAGAGGCCATCACAACTAGGATCCAGTCATTTTACAGAAGTCTTTGCGTGCATTTCTCTTGGGAGTGGTGTGAACGGACACTACGATACATGCCATGGAGGTTTCGTTTCGGTTCTCCTTGATGAGACGTGTGGCAATGCTGCGGAGTTCGAAAGGCCATCCGATAAGTCATCGATGACAGCCTATCTGAATGTCAACTACAAAAAGCCTGTGCATACTCCAGGCACTATTTTGTCCAGAGCCGTTGTGGAAAGAAAGGAGGGAAAGAAGTTATTTGTAAAAGGGTACATTGAAGATGGGAACGGCACAGTACTGGCTACTGCAGACTCGCTTTTCATCTTGACGGACCCAGTCAGACCTATGGAGAGATTGTAATATGAGAGTTTCTTCAGGATCCGCTATTACTTTTCGATCATCTCTAGCCCTTTCCAAATATTCTGGCAACACAAAGGAGAACATAAACGCTAGTGGTTCAGTTCTTAGACTTTACAACTATTTTAAGGGCCCGGTTAGCTATCATCAGCTACCTGTGTGAGTCCTCGCAAATCAAACCGAAGTGACAATTGGTGTTTGGGCTTATAGCACCTCTTGTGGGCAGTAACGAGGGCAACCATGCATCCGAGAAGCAGGGTAGAAGGACTTTAAGAAACGTATGTAGATCACGTGCTGATTATAAGCTCTTGCTATTAGAGTCTTGTGCTCTCTTGCAGCTAGTCTACCTAGATGAATGAACTAAAATGATTAGTGTATATTGTGTCAAGAAATATAGAAAACAGTACCTCTCAAATGTTGAGTCTCTTATCACGTGGAAGATATCGGCTCTTCGGTTTCCGATTTTATCCCGGATATCGTCCCGATTGATTCAATTGCGGCGGGACTTCCAACTGTTTAAAGGCCAAGCTTACAACAAAACTTAAGCAAAGCTGACTACGGTAGCAACTCCTCTCAATTTGAAGCCTCGTAACTCTTCACCATTGCCACATCGAATTTACAATTCTCGGGTTGCGGACCTACAACGATTGGGACACATTTCAACATCGCGACAAACTTGAACACATCCACCCCACCATCACTATGGACTACGTCGAGAACCGCATGCGAGAAGAAGCCGCAAAGCCCAAACCTGAAGGTGGTGAAGTGTATGCCCAATTTCCCTCTCATCCATGTTCCAATTCTAATTACCATCCCACAGAACGACCCTTTTCACACCCATAAACCTCATCCTCCTAAGCCTCTTCGTCTATACCCTCTACCGGACCTTCCGCTCCCCCCCACCCGCCAAACTCCCTCCTCCCCCAGCCCCGATTGTTTTCCGCACCTTCACACCGCCCACCCTGCTCCCCTTCAATGGAACCAATAATCAACCCGTATACCTCGCTGTCCGTGGACAAGTCTTCGATGTTTCCCCAGGAAGGAACTTTTATGGTCCCGGGGGCCCGTATGAGAACTTTGCTGGGAGGGATGCGAGTCGAGGATTGGCGTGTGGGAGTTTTGATAGGGAGATGTTGACGGAGGATTTAGAGGGGCCATTGGATACACTTGAAGGGCTTGGAGGGGAGGAAATGGAGGCGTTGAAGGGGTGGGAAGAGAGGTTTGGGGAGAAGTATCTGGTTGTTGGGCGATTGGTTGCTGTAGGTGATGAGGGGAAGAAGGTTGAGAAGAAGTAGGTATCATAGGTGTAGTAGGAGGGTTCGCGGGATATCAAATGGAGTTATGGAGGAAATTACATGGGAAATCACAACATGTTGCGCCACAAGAGTCACAACAAATACTATCAAGACCCTACAAACCTGATCAGATTTATAGGTTCTCCGTTCACCAAACTCTCATCTCCGATTAGCGATTTCCTTATCACTCGGCTAATCCTATTCATCACTTTTCCATTGGAGCTGTAGTTCTATCCTTTTATTTTCCAGCGGGGCAACAGCCTTAGTTAACATTTATAATACCCTACTGTTTTTCTATGCATGATGCAAGAAATTGATTGGCTTCGTGGTTCTTACGTGCTGAGAAACTTTCTACTTGTAAATGCTCTGGAGATGTATATTCGAGAGATATGAACATTCAAACTAATTCTCGAAGGAGTTTGAAAACACAGAAAAGCACACACCATGCAGACCTATCGTATCAGACCCCGCCCGAACTTTTTATGCCGCGGTGTAATCTTATGTGAGTTGAATGTATAGACAGTAACCCGTATAACTTAAGGTACTCATAACAACCTAGACCTTGAAGTTAGAACATACACCAAGTCGTACGAAACCTACTTGAAGAACCTTTCTTGACCTCTACATAGTGTGAATTTGCTATTATGTGGAAGTTTTCACCTGCTTATTTGTAAACTTTATATCTAAACCATCATCTTGTTACAAACATATAGTGTAACCTAAGATTTAAAGGGGGAGGCGTATATCCGCTTACTATCGGATATGTACTAACCGAGGGTGAGTTTCGGCACACAAACAGCTTAGTGTATAAACCCAAATAAGCACTTTTTGGCTTCAAAGCTGTCAATTCAGGCCTGGTGGCCTAATGGTAAGGCGTTGCTTTCCGGTGTCTTGTCCAAAGAGTCGAGTGTGGCAAAGATTGCGGGTTCGAGTCCCGTCTGGGTCGTTGACAATACTTAAATTCAATTTTTGTAAAAATTTTCTTTGTTCCACGTATAATTGTTCCTATTTGTTTTATTATTTAGCAAAGCCTCTTATCACTAATTATGAGCAAGGTAGTCTTCTTCGCTCTAACGTCATCGACAGTATAGGTTTGAGATCGGCTAGTGCAGTTGGCTGACTAATTTCAGGAAGCAGGCGAGAGTCTATGAAATAGAACATTGTTTTAAGTATCGCGCCGTGGGGTTATTTGAGCAGTTACCCGACTTCTGGAGCCTATTGCGAATAACAAACACAAGGCATTTATGTGTCTAACAGACTTGAACTAACCAAGCCTCAAATTTAAGGCAAAAAGAGCAGCTTGACCTTCCCCTTCCCCTTCCCCACTTTCAGAACCACAACACCAATCCAGCAAATGTAATTTGTCACTGGAGAACTGCAACCTACTGGTAGGTTGCAGCATCAAATCCACAAAGCTGACGCCAAAAATGCCACCAACGAGTAACGTTGTATGTATTACAGCGCAACAAACCCCACAGCGGGTAACCCGCAAGGCTGAAGCTCAAGATACTTGAGACAACATCAGGCTCCCGTGCAGAAGAGACATATAATATAGAGCACTGGAAGTTGTAAAATACTATCAAATAATTTTGACATACAGCAACAATGGCTCCTCACGCAAATTCCTCAACGGTTGACTCAATCGAACGTCTCCCTGCACCCCCTCGCCCAGCGATGTCTGAGAGTCCTCCGCGAATCCTGATCATTGGCGCAGGCTCAAGAGGCAATGCATATGCAAGAGCAACTGGTAGGTCAACAAACGGTGTGGTTGTAGCAGTAGCAGAACCAGTTGCATACAAACGACAACAGCTTGGTGCCAGATACATATGGGGGAAATCAAGTCCATCAGACGGACAGGAGTTCGAAGACTGGAAGCAATTTCTGGCTTGGGAACAAGAGAGAAGAGAGAAAGCTAAGAGAGGGGAGTCTGTGCCAGAAGGTGTCGATGCTGCTTTCATATGCGTTCTTGATGAGATGCATAAGGAGGTTATTGTTGGGCTGGCTCCTCTAGGCCTGCATATCATGTGCGAAAAGCCATTAGCAACAAGTTTGGATGATTGCTTGTCAATATACAAGTCCCTTCTTCCTAAATTGCCAAACACAGCGCCGTCGAAAATATTCTCCATCGGCCATGTCTTGAGATATAGTCCTCATAATATGCTTCTACGCAAGCTATTATTGGAAGATAAGGTGATAGGTGAAATCATGTCTATCAACCATACCGAGCCTGTTGGTTGGTGGCATTTCACACATTCATATGTCAGGTCTGTTATTTCCCAACAAACCTTTGTTTTATTTGTTAGCTGACTAATTTGCAGAGGAAACTGGCGGAGGGAATCAACCACTGCTCCATCTCTCCTTACAAAATCATGTCACGATATTGACATCCTCCTATGGCTCCTCTGTTCACCGCCACCAAATTCCACACGGCCAGCACATATCCCAACAACAGTCAGCTCAGCAGGGGCCCTTCAGTACTTTAACAAGTCTCGGAAACCCACGGCTGCTGGGGACGCCACTAATTGCCTATCTTGTCCAATTGAAACATCTTGTAAATATTCTGCAAAGAGAATATACCTCGGACCAAAGCTTCGAGGCCTCTACACCGGGAACAAAAATTGGCCAGTGGATATCGTTGTCCCAGATATCGAAGAATGTATGCATAAAGGTGGCCTTGACGGTGGTAAAGCTGCATTAACAGCCAAGCTTGCAGAGGATTACGACAATAGCACTCCGGAATCTGAAATTTCTGCAAAGAATTGGTTCGGTCGCTGTGTCTACGAAGCAGATAATGATGTGTGTGATGATCAAGTTGTCACTATGACATGGGACAACGACCCGCTTCCCAAGGTCAACCAGGATAATGAGAAAGCACTTATTGGTCGTGGCGCGAAGACAGCTGTCTTCCACATGGTTGCGCATACGAAAAAGATCTGTGACCGTTATACCCACATATACGGTACCGATGGCGAGATATATGCTGATAGCGAGACAATAACAGTCGAAGACTTTAATACTGGCACGAAGAAAATCTATAAACCTCACATGGCCGGTGGCGGTCACGGAGGAGGTGATGATGGACTAGCCAGACAGTTTATTCTTGCCGTTGATTCCGTAAAGAACCATGGTGCGGATGTTGCTGAGGCACAAAAGGCACACGTTGGATGCAGCCTAGAGGAGGTCATTCGAAGCCATGCGATGGTCTTTGCTGCCGAGGAAGCAAGACTGAGAAAGAAGGTACTTGATTTCCCTGAGTGGTGGAAACGCGAGGTTGAAGCAACTCTTATGAAATAAAAGGATTACTATGGAACAATATAAACAATTTTACTATGAAGAAAATCATTCAGATATATGGGCTGTGAAGAGAACGGAGACGTTACCAGTCTTCCCTTATCAATAAACAAATATTTTTACTTCCACCCAAATTCTCACATACCTACTCCCCCTCCTTGCTATATACCTAACAATTCAAGCAGAATCATTTCTAGCAGCAGGCTTCCTGAGTCAGCGGTAGCATTAATCTCTTATAATGTTATTCACCTCTGTATTATAACGTTCCCAGCTGGGTTTCGGATTAGTGCCAAAGCTAGTTGGTGCCTGGCCGAGATTGGAAGCTCAACGCATTCAAATCTTAGGATTAGAGTGCGTTAAATTTCTCGGTCCCGGAACTGCGAATTTTCGAGTCTGTCCTTGTTTCATGAAGATGGGGTGATCCGTTTATGTAGACGATATGAGCCGGGAAGAACCCTGAGACAGCTGTGGAATAGTTTCTTAGGCACTCAAGATAGCCGCACAGGGAAACGTCTGAATCTTTTGAGTTATCTATTTGCTTTATGTAAAGACCCTACTCTTTTTCGGGGGGGATTTTCTATCGGAAATCGAAGTTATCTGAGAACTCTTTCTCACATACGCTTACCCTAAAAAAGATAAAAATTTGTATCTACCCTTTCTAGATGTATTCATCGACAAGGAATTCTCTGCCAATTTACTTCTGTCGAACTATGTAAAAGAGGCGAGTATCGTAAAAATAAATAAAAAACCCCGTGGGAAAACTTTCGGTTGATGGGGTGCTATCGTTTGGAAGAGAGTAAGATGACCTACCTGTATATTCTCCTAAAAAAAATCGAGATTCTAGGTATACTTCTGGCGTCAAGTAAGATGTTGCTACCGAGTATGTTGGTGTGTTTCTTACATAATAGAAAGTGGGAAGGGGAGAACAGGGAAGGATATTTATTGGCAGCAGATTTGGCGATAAGCGAACACTGTCGGACGAAAAAAAGACATAAAAGACAGTGAGGAACCAACCATGAAGAGACTACGACGAGATTCAAGATTTACCAGTACAAGTAAGAACGTGGATGCCCATATATTGACACCTCTCCAGAGGTTGAGGCGGTTGATGAACAAGTGACAGGGTGTTGGTGGGCGGAACGTAGTTCTTGAACAGCACTGAATAAGAAACGATAGAATGAGGGCAATTGACTTGTGATTGTGAGAAATTCAACTCTCAACCTGGATATCTTTCAACCCAACTCCTGACGCCTCGCCACATGCATACAAACCACATGATATATAGAATACAAGCTCTCTTCACCCTAGAGAATCATCGTCTATCACAATTAGCTTTCCCCTCATCACAATCTTTAAATAGAGAGGAAACTCACAAAACATTCAGCGTAACATCTCCCACAATCCTCGCCTTCATCTCCAGCTGAATATCCAAATCAAGCCCCAACTTTAACTTAAACGGCCGTCCCTTTCCCTCCTTCTTAATCAACATCTTCTTGTTCTCCTTCCTCTCCATATCCAAGTCCACATCCTGCCTTCTCACCAATGCACTATTCCGGTTCTCTTTCCCCCTCCGCTTACTAGTCGAGGCGGTGGAAGAAGCAACATCACTGTCGTAGCGGTTACTTTGATTGAAAGAGTTGGCAAAAACATCATCCCTCTCTCGTGCTCGCCCGAGTTCTCGTCCTCCAGTCGGAAGACCAGGGACGGCTCGATCTCGAGAGCTTCGCCGAGTAGCGGGAGGTGAGCGCGATCCTCCAACCCGAGTAACCACGCTCGTCTCCTTCCCTCTCCCTGCAAACTTCAACGGGCTCTTAACTCCTGGCGCAGGAACCTTCTTAAACTTCGGCGTCCTTTTCAGTGGCACAGGTACCAAATCAGGTGGCGCCTCCACAAAACTCTGCGGGGGGCGAAACCGCGTTGGTGTTTTGGCTGCAAATCCTCGTGAGGGGTCAAATTTTGTTGATGATGAGCGGTTTAAGGTTGTGGAATCGGTTTTGGTGGAGGTGTTGATTGCGAGGTTTGCGATTGCGCGTGCGCGGGAGGATTGGGATGGTGTTTGAGTGGGTGTAGTGGTGTCGATTGAGGAGACGGAGAACTTGGAGGAGTCGTTGGTTGGGCGAGATCTGGAGGAGGAGGAGGAAGTGAGAGCTTCAGTGTTGGAGCGGGAGAGGGGTTTTATATCTGCCTCTGGAGCTGGAGGGCGGGGTGGTGGTCTTGCGGTTTCGGGCTTTTCAGTTGTTGAGCGAGAAAGAGGCTTTATATTTTCGACAACTGGTGGGCGGGGTGGTGGTCTGCCAACGTCGACGGTCGTCGCTGAACGGGATAGTGGCTTTATATCATCGAGAGCCGGAGGACGGGGCGGCGGTCTCGTAGTCTCGTAGGGATTGGAGGAACCTGGTTTTACAGAGTCGGATCTTGAGCCGGCACGCTGTCTTGTGGAATCGGAGCGAGAAGGTGTAGTTGAATTTTCAGGGGGTGGTGGGCGGGGTGGAGGTTTGACGGACTCGTACGGATTTGAAGAAGCTATGGATTCATAGGGATTTGCAGACTGTTGTACATTGCCGGATCTCGAAGCTGCAAGCTGTCGCGATGAAGCAGATCGAATTGGTCTGTTCGAAGCTTCGGGAGGTGGCGGCCGGGGCGGTGGTTTTACAG